CACCAACAGCAATCGACTGCCAACATGTGTAATGCAAATGCCTCTTTATTGTATTTAAATAATTGCAATTACGCTTAATCGAAACCGGAGGGAAAAACAAATAAAGAAGTATTCATGACACAGACTTGGTCACTTTGCATGCAAATCCACTAGTGAATGCAATGGATAACTGACATACGAAATCCAAATGCAATTATGTGGCGAATAATAAAATGCATTAAAATGCAATTATAAATTTTTTCACTTCTAACAAAATTTCTTTGGCAACATACTATATATGATTTGTTTAATACAAACAAATACAAACTTGATTTTAGTAATTGAAAGAAACCTAAATAGACATTTAAAACATTTTCTTTTCTTTGTATGGAGAATATAAAGTACACACTTCTTAAATAGTCTTCATATATAAAATATATATTTTTTACATAAAAAGTTAGTAAAAATTTTCTTCAATTAATGTTCAACAATTTGTTTGATATTCAACTGCTTTCCACCATGTCATCATGCGGTGCAACCTCATCAGCTTTGTTGTAAATTTCATTCGTTAATTTGAAATGATGACAATGCAATTTGCAACCACAACATAACTAATAGAAGGTAAATTAAACTATTTCAATTATAGGGGCAAAGACGGGCATATAAATTTACTTTTATAAGTCATTTAAAATGCAACAACATTGGCATCTTCTTAGATCTGATAATAATAGACTATAATGTCATTTATGTTATATTAAAAAAAAATATCAGATTTTGATCATAGGGATGTAGAAATCATACTCTAACTCCGCTATAGAGAGGCAATCCAAAAGTTTTAACAATAAAAGTAATCATTAATAACATTAATAAATATTTGATTCTTTTTCAATGAGTGAAGCTATAGATTTTTACCTATAAAGGTATTTAGAAAATAAAATTTAAAATGAAAATAAATTACTTTAAAACTATAGCAGAATTATATATTGAATATATTATTTCTCTTAACACGTCTTACCTATAATCATGTATATCGATGTTATATCAAAGTAACCGAATCGTAACAGATAATATTACAAGTGGCTTTAATATAACATAAAAAATATAAATTTGTAGAACTTTTGTTTATTATTATTATTATTATTAAAGAGTAGACTTGAAAATTGCCCAACAGCTGGTACTGCGGCCAGAAAAGACCTATTGTACCAGTTTCACTATTGATAAAACAAAGCCCCTTAAAGCTTTGTGAATAAAGTCTAGAACTAAATCTAGAGAAGAGTTCTTTATCTGCTCTGGTGACAGAAATTCTTTATGAAACAGGTTTCATCTGTGCGTTATTAAAGCTGGACAGTCACAAAGAATGTGCATGGTCGTTTCCTCATCTTCGAGGCATAATCTGCATTCCGTGTCAGCAGATAATTGTAGTTTATGAAGGTGATATTTCAAACCATAATGACCTGTTAAACTTTTGTTTAAAAATTGCTTAAAAAATCTAATACATAATAAAATAGATCTTGCTATTATTAGAAATGTAGAACAGACATGACAGTCTTTATCTTTCATGGTGTTGTGCTAGAATATTAATTTGTGAATATTGTGAATTGTATAGATTTGTTTGTTATTAAAGAAAACTAGTAATTATCACTACTCATGATATAATTTATCATATTACTTTTATTCTGAACTTAAAATCTTAAATGCGTAATTATTTATTTATTTTAATTAATTAATATTAATGTCCGGTCTATAGATAATTATAAAAATATTTTATTTGAAAAGTTGATGTCTATAAAAATTCAAAAAGCTTTTTGTTCTATTATCGTTAGCATAAATTTTGTAAAGTGTATAATTTGCCTTTCAAAGAATATACTTTGAAAATTTCTTTATATTAAAAATAATAAGACAAGCTAAATATCAATTCAGATTATTATTATTTTAAATTTAAAATATACTATTTTTAATAATTTTACACATAATTGAATGAATATTTTTTATTAATTACATCGACTCATCTTTGGATTTTTAATTACTAAACTATTTTTGCATTAGTATATTATCGTATTATTAGTCATAGCTAATCCACTATTTTTTAAGTTATTTTTATATTGGCGCTTTAGTGCAGTACAACGTCTTGCACTGATATCTCTGATTTTACTACAAATAAATCGCAGTAATAAATTTTTTCTTTGTGTACTTTTGTTATATATAGATGCATTTCACAAATTGATTCAACGAGTTACTGTTTACTTAAAAAAACATTTCATAAATTGATTTACCAGCTTAAAGGAATATAGGTATATGTGTACTTTATTAAACAGCTTCTAAACCTTTTTTTAAGACAATATGTTACTTATCAATAAACAAGCGTTTACAGCCAAAGAGTTACTGTTTACTTAAAAAAACTGATAATATTGTTAAATATCTAAACTATCCCATACTATATAAAAGTATTCTCTTCTCTTCAATTTATTATGGTGGTCGTAGAGTAGTAGGGTTAGTAATGAATCTTTAAAATTTAACATCCTTTATATAGTTTAAAACATGTTAAAAGCACTAGGAAATAGTGTCCTATGTATTTTATATAGGTGAAGTATAAGGTCGAACCTCCTTGATTAGCTTGTAAGTCCTTTCGATTCGAGATTCCATGCAATTTTTGGATAACGTTCCTGCTTACTAATTCTTTAATATATTATAAATTTAAGTTGTTGGGATTTGCAAGATGTTTGTAATATGTATATAGATTTCGTAAATCATATAAATAATAACGATTGTAAATCATTGTCATAAGCGACTTCGTGATGTCCGTCTATCTATAAATATTCTTATTAATCTTACAGTTTGTGACTTAGTCGAATAAAGCTTATTTTTGTATGCATGTATACATTTAATTTTACATTTAAAAAAATTGTGAAAATGATGTATTTATTGGTTTGTAACATACTATCTGTATGACGAATATTGCGCCTACAGTAAAGACAAAAATACTTTGTTTTTTCCTTTTAAAAGATACATTACCATCAGTGATTTTTACAATTTATACCATAAATAAGTTTTATTAAATTAGTTTTTATTTAATTTTTTTTCTGCTATTATTATAGTTTCGTCTGTATTAACATGACAATATATTATTTTGATATCCTTTAAAATGTGTCATTAAAAATTGTTACAAATTCAAAATATACATTAAAAAAATTCACGTTCACAAATGATAAAAATTGAAAAAAAAAATTTTTTTTTAACTAAATATTTTCACTTTTTAAGATTAAACATTTTTTTATTTTTGAATTTTTTCAAATTTTTTTTGGTAAATGCTAAATGCAAGTAAAAATTGTTTGCTAATTAAAAATTTAAAAATTTAATTTTTATTTATTTATGTATTTCCGACTTAAAATTCGTCTCATCACATACTTCACCCATTTTTACACTCATTGACTGCTAACAAGAAAGTACCCGTAAATGATCAAAAGCGATTACTCGCTTTTTCTATAAACTTTACTTTCTGATTTATTGCCGAATCGTTTACAAGACGTTCAAACATTTTGAGCCGTCTTTACAACATGTTGGACTATGAGTAGCTTTGTTTATTGAAGTTTGTAAAGCATTGTGTTGCTACTGCAACGATAAGCTGTTGCATTGCCTGTATTGTTGCACTTAAAAGTGTTATGGGTGATCACTTCCACCACAACTACCACCATTACTAACTCATAAACATCATTCATGGCCACGGTGTGAATTTAATATTGCACAGTGGACTTATTTTATTTCGAAAAATTTAAGTTTTATTAAAAAAAATATTTATTTAACTTATTTAGTAATTTATTCTTACAATATTTTAATTAATTTAAATTTATTAAATTAAAAATTAAATTTAAATTTAAAAATTAAACCAAGAAAGACTAGTCCCAAATAAATCGAAGCAATTGTATAAAAAACATCTCTATCTTATTGTGTTAAGTAGTTTATACATACGCCAACTTAAGGTCTAGTGTTTCATTAAAATGGTAAAACACTATTTTTGTTTTTATAAATTAAATTTATACTTCTAGTTAAAAAAATACAATAGAGAGGTTCTGTTCAAACTGTAATGAGATAAAATGTGATTATTTTCTATTGATTCTCTGTAAAATAATGAGCTTACGCTTATAACTAACAATAAAAGGAAACAGCTAAACGAGGTTCTGCAATGGACGTACCGAATACAACAATCTCTGTGATTAATTGATTAGAATATAAATTTCCAAAATAGTTTTAATAATAAACTACATTCAACAGCTTTTAAGCATACAACATTGTAACATCTTCTTGGGCGTCAGTTTATCTTAACTATGTATTATTTATATTTATTTTGTATTATCAATAGCATTAACAAAAACAAATATCAGACTTCTTTATTTTTTATATAAACTAATAATACATACGTTAATTAAAATAATGTTTAAATATGCACTAAATACTGTAGTAATATTTTGGTGACCAGTTTCCGTTTTGGATGAAGTTATAAAACATCCTTATTGTATTTAAGTGTGATCTCTTACTAAATTTGTTAAATAGCGAACAATCTCTGAGTGCCTGAGTTTATAGTTTGTAAGCAATATAAGGAGACCGCTTTCAATTAATATTTTCTGTAGCTTTTACTATATATTCTACTTCGTATCCAAAATGAAAACAGAATAAAAAATGTGATTTCACATTGGAATCAATGTGGATGGGATAGACGTAGGAATGGTAACAAAATATTGAAAACAGTTTAAACTAAGACTAAACTTTATTAGTACAAATAAAAAATATAAATTGTAAAAATTTCTTTGCCCATTGACACTCGTACAATAATTACCGTTTAATTATTGAAAAAAAAATATATATCTTTTTATATAAAAATTTGTATGAGAAGCGATCATTGTTCCACTTAAGTACAAATCTATTTGAAAATTGTTTACAACTGACCACTGTGCACCATGTAAGTTAGTTGTACGTTGAAAAGATAGCATTGAAGCGTCACTGAAGCACTGAAGAAATTCAGTTAAATGTTAGACGTGAAAGAAAACGATTGCTTGGTGAAAAGTAAACGCGATGTTAGACTCTTTCTGAAACGTGTTGTTAGTTGCATAAAGAAAGGCTTAGATCGCAGACTAATTAGGCATAAAGCAAGAACGAATAGCTGGTTGAACGGTGTGAATGTTTATAGTTTGCTTTAAATGAACGATTAATTTACTACATTAATATGTTAGCGTGAAAAGTAAATATTGTTGAAATAAAATAAACTGTTGAATAAATTTATATTAAGTATTTTTTAAAAATAAACAAACATGGACAAAAGAAGTGCTAAATCAATAAAACAAAGTGCATCAGCGACAAATGCAAATGCATCTTCTACCACTTCAGGTAGTAAATCTTTAGGTGTACAAAAATTTTATACAAAAATAAGACACAAAATTGAAGATAACTTTACACCTAAAATTACCGGAAAACTTTACAAATGTAATAAAAATTCTATGTCAATGAGTGCACTAAATACTGTTGAATCAGGTACTTCAACAGGACGTTATAAAACTATAAGTAAGGCCACTAATAGTACTAATAATCCTGTCGCAATATCAGGAGTGCCAGAAGCAACAAATAAACGTACATCATCGGGTATGTTAAAACATCGTCATATATTAACAAAATCTCACAAAAATTTAACAACAGCCAGTACTACAACTGCGATTGCGTCGACCGCAACAACAAACAAATCAAAAATCAATGAAAATTGTCTAAACAGTAATGTTGCCGGTCAACAAACAGAAAATAGCTGCAACCTTTCGCCCTTTAGCAATAGCACTTATATAGACAGCGACGAAGAATGTCATCTCAGTTTGAATTTAACAAAATTATCACTTGAAGATGAAATCTTCGAAGAACTTGAAAAAGTGGCACATGACGAATCCAAATTGAATGCAGTGCTCAAAAACTTTGATAAGATTTTATACGATTATCAGGAAAATTCAAACTCAAATGTAGAAAACCAGAAAAGTGTATTAAACTCAAAATGTGAAGCAATGGCACAATCTCAAACTGAAATCGAAAACAAACAACTTTCGATTACTAAACAAATTAATGAAGCTGATGACGTTAATACGATGTTGGAGGAGTTGGCTAAGCCTGCAGCGACTACTAATGAAATTCATAATGAAGAACAACCTGTTGCCGACATTTTGGCAAAATCTAATACATGCAATAGCATACGTACTTGTGCACAAGCCAAACAAAATAATATGAATAAAAAAACTAATAATGATGAGACATTGGAAAGTGAATTTGCAACTAAGCGGCACAAAGATGTAAAAGTAGAAAATATACAGCAATCAAAAAATCAGTTGTTGCCGAAAAAACTGGAGAAATCCAAATCAAGTTTGTCGATTACCAAACGTTTTGGTTATCAAAGTGTAGATGCAACAGCAAATTTAGGTATGCAACAACGTGGTACAAGTGTAAATAACGTGCGTACCAAATCAATGTGGGAGCTGACGCAGTCCAACTCAGCTAGTAAAATACCAATATTAAAAAGTATGCCATTGCAAAAGCGTAGCAATAGTTTCTGTTACATGAGTAGCCGTAATGTGGATAAATCATTGTTCCAACAGTCTTTAAATAACAATAAGCGAAAATCTTTTGAACTACTTAATAATAAAAACCGTGCCGCATCTTCTTTATGTTTAGCCAGCAAAAGTACTAAGAGCCCTACAGTCACTCAACGTCTCATAAGAAAATCGCCTACACCTCTTACAACATCCACACCGCAGTCACTTAATAAAATTGGTATGCCATCAACTCAGGATAGAACACATAAATTATACAATAAATCACAAAGCTTGGAAGAAACTAAACCACAGTACAGTAAAACACTAGCAGATTCCAATTTCGCTACTGACACACTAAAGAAACATAAAGGAGCTGAACGAAAAACACAGAAACAGCGTGATGAATTACTCGATAAATGTCTAGAAAAGGGTCAACAAATATTGCGAAAAGTTGAGTCATTAAATACTGAAGGTGTACGTCGTATTAACAGCACAACGAAACGGAATTTAACACGCACAAAGTCCACTAAGACTAGCATCACAAAGGACAATAGTACGGGTACCTTAAAAAGACGTCAAATGCTGAAAAAACTGAATTATGCCAATGAAGAAAAAATAACACAGCCAGTCTTGGAATCGTGCAAAATCATACCGCCTGTTTTGGGTGAAACTTCAGACAAAAACGCCGAACTCTTAGTGAACGTTGTGCAGGCGTTAATACCTACTGCCACTAATAATACCAGCACTGTAAACAATAAACTGCAGCTGCCTACCAACCAAAATAATGACGCCTATGAAACGTACAAATCCAGCACAATTGAAACAGTGCCATCACATATGCATCAGCTCATTGACTATGTGCATTTTAAAAAATCACAGCATAATTCCGACATGGACAATGATTCCGACGATTCTGGTCACATATCAAATGAAAATGATGCCACTGCAACGCTGCTCACCGCATCTACTGTAACTTCAAATGGTTGCGGTAGCAGTTTGTGTGAATCAGATGCAGGAGAATCTGATCTGTTGCCTGCACAGCCAATTAATACGGGAAAATCTAAGAAAATTTCGGCACTTTTGGAAAAATTTGAAAAGCAAGCGCAGCACACAACCTTGCAACCACATCTGCCTACCGCAGTGAAGGCAAATAAGAAAATTTGCACAACAGTGAAAGTAGCCGAACTGGACGCCGTTCAATGCATACAAACTCGTGTTGAAATATTTCCAACCTATAAAAAAGAGGTAACTATAAGGCTCCTCTAAAAATCGTTTAAAGTAATAGACACATATTTATTTGCTTTAGTTACTTAAAGCTTCTTTAACGTTTGTGGTATAAATAAACAAAAATAGTTATAACTTACAAAACGTTTCACTTTTATTATTTTATTTTATATTTTTTTATTTATTTCTAATTATATAATTAATAAAATAATTATAATGAAATTGGTAAATTGTTGTTTTTCTTTTTTGGTATTTTGATAGCCTAAAATATAATTTTTCCTCTCCTAGTTTTTCACTCTTTAACTTCTATCGGTTGCGGCTTTCTATTAAATGGTTTTTTCTTTTAATGGGCGCTCTCTATTCTATAATTTCTGATAATATATGAAAAAGTTTATCAAAATAGTAGTTTGGGCTTAAAAAGATAAATTAATTACTTTATTTTTTTTTATAATTAATTTATTTTTTTTCCTGAGATTTAGATATTTTTATACATTTTTGTAAAAAACTTAGAGTTAATCTTACATTGCATTTATATTATATGAAATGGTAAATACAACTAGGATTATTTTCTAAAATATAGTTTAGATTGAATTTTTTTTATTAAAATGATTTATACTTTTATTTGTGACCAAAAATTATTATTCTAATAATTTTTTATCGGGCTAATTGGTCAAATTTAAATAGAAATAAAAAAGACACTAAACTGTTCAGTTTTCCCTGAAGAGGACTATCGAAGATAGTCGAAATATTAGAAGAATTATTTTTAATAAAGTGTAAACGATTTTTAAATATAAATTATAAATTAGTGTCTTTATTATTTCTATTTAAATTTGACCAATTAGCCCGATAACAAATTATTATAATAAAATGATTTATTCAAAATAAAAGTCTGAAATTTTCAGGTTTATTATTTAACCATTTTAATTTGTATAACTTTTTTTTTCATAACATTTTTTATATCGTAATTATATTTAACATATAATGCTATTTTTATTTTTAATTTAAATCATTATACTTTTTTCATATTACATTTACAAATATACAATAGTTCAGGATAAAATAAAAATTATTTTAATATTTTTGATAAATCATTTTTAGATTTTTTTGTAAATGTGTCAACATTGCCCTAATATTTGCACTGTTTCCAGACCATTGAGATATACTATTTACATTATTATTCAAATTGTAAAACGTTGGTCAGATTTACAATATATAATCTGTGAATAGCTTTATCACAAGTAAAATTTATTACCTTCATTAAGTAATACTTTAATCCATATAAATTTATTTGTAAAAAAATAACAATTTGCTTTAGATTCAAATTAGAACGAATATAACTTACATAAAGAGATTTTTTGAAATCACAACAATTATATATAGGAATTGAATTTATTGGTTCATTTATAATAGTATATACTCGTAGTATATATATATATAATAGTATATAAAATGAATTTTTTGAAAATTGTGATGGAAAATCAACAAAAGAAGTACCATATAAGAGTATGATCTCAATTTCGGATAATATTTCATATATTTAGATCAAAACTGGTTTGGATGGGACTCTGATCATGGATGTAGACAGGAAGCAGATCAGAGGAAAGGAGTGAAAGAATAATTTTTAGTATTGAAATCCCTATAATTTAGAGAAAACGAATTCAGTTTTTTTTTAAAATAAATTTCGTCAAAACAAAATATATTTTATAACTTAATTGAAAAAAATGTTAATCGTTGTCTAATTTGAATAGGAAAAATTTCTTCTAGAATGGTACAATTGAATTTGTTGGGCACGTTGTTGTTGCTTCCATAATTATATAGTAATTCTGTACAGTATAATGACTACAAAATTTAATGTAATAAAAGATAAATACTCATAAATAGGCTTATAGTAGAATGCTTTTGTAATTTATTTACACTGATTGAAGTATATTAGATCTAAAATTATTAATAATTAATTTTATTAATATCGAATAATTTTTTTTTATAAATGCGGATTGTACATATAGTCTATTTTATAACTTATAAGAATTCTTAAAAAATATTAGTAAAAATAAATTCCACTTATATTTGGATTAAATATGTTCAGGTTATATTAAAAATAAATAATAAACTAGTAGTGACTTAGATCAAAACCTGTATATTGAAGCACATCGATAATGTAAATGTACAATTATTACATTGTAAGTCTTTATTAATATGAAATTTTATACTTTTGTTTTTTCCGAAGTGTTTTTTAATAAAAATACAAATTCAAACTCCTAAAATGCGTTTGAAGGCGATCTCTTATATCGTATATACATTGCAAATGTTAAGTTTTCCTTTAACTTCCTTAGGAATGTTCAGCACTCCAAGCATCATCAGTGAGTCGACAGGAATCTCACTCTAAAACCGATAAGTTTCGTTTTAATAAGATTAACTGGGTTTTTTTTAAATAAAAAAAGCGACCAACTTGTGTATGTTCTTTTCAAGTTTTTTTTTTATTAATATGTGCCGTACACTGTTTTAGAATTTTAATATTTTTAACACAATTTTGTTAAATACAAATCCAAATATAATTAATATATAATTAAAATGCTTTAATTTAAAACTGAACTAATAAAATTTATTTCAAACTGTGAAATTAAACTTTTTCTTTCAAACAAAGTAATCATAATTTGCATTAAGTTTTGATTCCTTGAACATAATCTTCCGAAAATCATTAATTTATTAGGTTAGTACGCTAACCAAATTATTTCTTAATTAATAAATTAGTCGTGAATAATCAATAAAGTACATAATACTATTGTAAATTATTTAAAAATGCATTATTACATTTATTGTTTAATTCCAGCAATAAATGAATAATGGCTTTTTAAAGAGTATACGTCAAATTGAAGATAAAAATAATCTTTAATATCTGTTTTGAATGATTGTTGCATTTATTAATGATTAGTTAACAATTTTAAAAGATTTTCTTTTTGTTTTTCAATCATTCGTCATCGGTCCTTTCTAAACAGTTGGCATTTTTTTATATAAAAACACTTGAAATTTTTACATGTAACAATTCAGCAAAAACCAAATGACAATACAAGGTTTAAATTGTCGTACTTTCCAAATAATTTGCAATCCATTTTGTCACTCAAAATTCAATTTAAAAACAAACATACATATATGCATTTCTAGTCAAAACTTTCATTTTAACAGCACGTGATTCGCATAATTTTAATTAACATAATTTTACTTAAAAGATACAAAGCAGAAAAAATTTGAAGAAAATTAAACAAAACTTGATAGACAAACTAGAAAAGCTTACAAAAACCTTTGGCTTTGGGCTTAACAATTATACGTAATTTGCTTGGAATTTATTTGTTTTATTAATTTACTATTTTTCAACACACCTCAATATCTAAAGTTATCTTTGAAATTTTTAACTAATTTCAAATTCAACTTAATTCGAAACTCAGCTTAAGTTTGGCTTAGCTAATCATTAATATTTTATATGTTCATATTTACAAGTCATTATTGTAATTATTTTAGTATTATTGTTGTTGTTGCTGTTGTAGTTTTGTCTTGAATTAAAATTACTGTTGACATTTTAACATCAAATCCCCATCGGTTCCATAATAAAAGCCATAAAAACGCAATAAAAACTGTTCGTACGTGATATGGCAATAATTTCCTTTTTATAAGACTTTCTGAATATCTGCGTTTTAAATTGCAGTCATTTGTTTCACATAAATTCACCTTTTATGATTTTTTTTTATCAAATAAATCTACACGTTATATTGAACTCACAGGTGTTTAAATTAGTTTTATGCTTGATTTATATTGATAGTAATTTTCCCCTTGTACCAGGATAATTTTACAAAATGCGATAAAATGCGAATAAGAAAGTATGGAACTCTAACCTGACTGATGCGTAATTTTTTTATATGCAGTATTTATTCACTGCTATAGGGTAAGAAAAATTCATATTCCAACATTCATTTTTACCTTTTCTTAAAATTAAAATAATAATCTTGTATGGATTATAATATCCTCACCCAGGTTAAAATTTTTTACTATTGTAGAGATAAATTATAAAAGAAAAAAAAATTGGATTAATAAACTACTGTAGTCATTCCTCTAAACCCCTTAAAACAAAAAGCGGTTACGATTCTGTCTTCAAAATACTTTCTAACATTAAAATAGTTTATATAGAATTTTTACAGATATATTTTTCAATTTAATATTGTATGTCTTGTACAGTTAGCACCGTTTTAATTTGCAAGCTTTTTGTTCTATTCATTTTTGTATAACATTTCATTCAATCGTATATTAGTGTCCGGAGCTATGGAGGATGATGAAGCTCTGGCAACATCAGCGATAACAATTTAATTATATTTTATTCAATCTTATTTTGGTGATGAAACCATCATGGGCCCATAACCTTTTTTGTTTTTATCAGCCCATGTCTTCAGTAGTGTATTGCTAGCATATTAATGTATTTTAATGTAGATATTTGAGGTTTATTTATTAAGTTTATTATTTAAGTAACCGAAGGCTTTTTTTTTCACCATTCTTTTCAATCAATTATAGAGTACATGCGTACGCAATTAGCGGCAAGAGGCACTTCTTCAAAAAAAAAAAACTTCTTCCTTTTAATTCAACATTAATATACATACATATATATGTATGTATATTATTATTGTTGACATGAGATGTGGCACTGCGACCATCGGGTCTATGTAGCTCTTTCTGGGTTTAGACAAAGTCTCTAAGCCCTGTTGCGTAGATAAAAAGTAATTTAGAACCTACTCTACAGAGTTTTATTGCATTTTCTAAGGGTATACATTCCCAGGAGTCTATTCTGTATGTGCATTAGCGCAGGGCATTTGATTGTGTTAATCCTGGTATATTATCTCAGTAATTATTTTTGTTCTAGTTCTACATCATTCTTATAACAGAAAGGATATATATATGTCATAATTCACAGAAAAGTTCCGGCACCATCATCGATGCGGCTGCATATTCGTTTGTTTGTCTATTTCCCGGTACACAGAGAATCGACACCTGATTTGATTCGTCAAGTAGATTTAGCTTTTTAAAACATTATTACACTAGTCCTGAAGCCGCCTGATACGAATTTAGTAACTTGATTGCCGCTTGGCTGTCTGTCAGTATTGCGATATTTTTTCCCTGGTATTTCCGTTCAACATTGAAAATTATGCACTTTGTTATGTATGTATAATACTATAATA